TGTGAAATCTGCGATTACAATATAAGCTGCTCTTCGAGTTTCGGGAACCTATCATTTATCTAGCAGAGAGAAGATCTTGTGTATTTTAAGTTGGCTCGAGATACAGATACTTTAATGAATACGATTAAGAAGACTAGTCTATCTCTGTTTATTTTTATTTTTTGTTATTGTCTCTTTCGATAGTCTGTATTTTGTTTTACCCTAGATCTTTCTCTCTGTTTAAAATGCCTTACTGATTAAAAGTCTTACTGCCAACAGAAAGAAACGTTCTTTTAAAGTTTTTGTTTCTAGTGGTAAACATAAGTATTTTTTCTGACAGTTTTGAATATTTTCGTTTAGATTATTACTTCACAAATATACAAAAAGTTTGGATGTTTTGAAGTAATGATTTGAACGAAAACTTTGAAAGACTTCAGCTCTCGGTACAGCACCGTCAATGTGGTAAAATAAACGGTTGCTCCGATCTATTCGCCTCTTAGAATATGATTTTTTTTGGAATATTTCAGTTTGAACGGGCAACTCCGTCGTGTTTCACCTTTCAGATACAGTTGACAAGCTTCTGAAATTGTCAGCCATCTCGCTACTAGTCATCAACTGCACCTTTGATCAGAAGGCTCGCCTGACGCAGAGTTCTTTCGCCCAATCACTTGAGCCCATACACACTTCGCTGACCACGTACTGGCTTTCCGGAAAGCCACAAGGACTAGCCAGAGAAGCTGTATTGTATGTCACAACGTAGTGAGTATGCTGTCAGACGGGTGATCCAAGGCGCTAAGACATAAATAACTTGCCCAAGGTTATTACATAACTTTGCTAGCGGCGAGATTCGAACACAGTACCTGTGAAGTACGTGACGAACAACATAACTATCAAGCCATGCTGCCTTCTCAGTCATGTATAAGAAACTGTTTCAAAGTTCTATCGCTGTAGTTGTACAAACAAAGTTAACACAGATGTTGTGATTTCTTTTTTTCGTCTTCGTTGCCATTAACAATACCTTTTTATCTGATTTGTGCGATAAAATCAAAAAATTGATTTTAAACAGAAAAGAAAAAGCTAGAGACTATTTATTAACTTTATCCTTTTGTTTTCTTTTTCTTTTCCACTTACACATTATTATGATGACAGAAATATTATTAAGAAACAAAACAAAATGAAAAAAGTCTTACTACGTGATTTTATATGAAGTTGAATGTTTGTTTTGTTCGTTGTCGTTATCATCAAGATGGATTTTAGCGAGAGAAAAGAAGAAAAAAACTGTGTGCATATTTTACCATAGAGCAGAAGAAAAGATTGCCGTGTTAAAACCTTCCAAGTAGTAGTGATTCTAGTGATGAAGTTCCTTTTTTACTAATGAATGTAAAAGTGTGCTCTATAAATTAAACAAAGAGTCGTGTTGTTATATGAAAGAATTTTTATTTCTTGTAAAATTTAAAAGCATTTCTCTCATCAACTGCTTGGTTTTCATCTCTGGTCTGAATCATATTCTAAGATACAATCTCGAATCTTTATTGAAATTTAACGCATGTTTGTTTTACTTTTTCCTATTTCATGAACATTTTTCTTTTAGTAATTATAATGTTTACCATTATTTTCGCCGTTGTGCTAGTTATTATTATAGTATTGGTTTATTATTTTGTTGGATATAGCAGTAGGAAGTGTCGCGATTTTCATATTGTTGTTGATAATTCAAATGTATTTATTTCTTCTCAACTTGTTAGTGCTGGTGGCCAAGACAAAGAAAGATAATTCTATTCGTGTTAACGTTGGTAAATTAATTAAAGTGATTGAAAATGGTAGATTGGATTCAGATATTAAAACTAAAATTGTTGGCGGTAGTACACCGCCACCAACATCACGTGTTTGGGAAGAATGGAAAAATTATGGTTATAAATGTATCCTAGGGGCTCGATCATGGGAAAATAAAGTTAGTAAGTGAGTGAAAGATTAGTTCAGTTGAAAATAATAATTGTGATTTTTTTCTCTTCTAGGAAGTCTTTTTAGATGATATGTTACATGCACAAATCTTAACACTGCTAACAGATCATGAAGATAATAATAGTCACCGACAACCGCACCATCGTCATCAACAAGTCTTAGTTTTAGTTACTGGTGATGGTAATGATAATTATAAACGTGGTACAAGTTTTCCTGCTATATTATTAAAAGCATTAAAACGTCAATGGCATGTTGAACTATGGTCATGGGAAAAAGCATTGAATGGAAAATTTTTAGATATTCAAAAAACTTATCCTAAATTAATGAAAATTAAATATTTTGATTTGCATAGAAAGAAAATAACATTTACACAAAAACAAACCAAAACGACAATCAACTAGTAGTTTTCAATAATAAACAAACAGTTGTTGGCTGTAGAACAAAAAAAACAAAAATCTCTCATAAAGTAAAGTTGTTTCCAAGTTTAGCTATGTTTCAGTAGTGAATTTTGCAAATTTCTACGAACACCTTTCAATTTTGTTTACGTACTTATTTTTAGCATTTTTACCGCTCAAAAAAATATGTTTTATCTACCCTACTTAAAATGTTTAACCATTAAACCTTCTAGTATAGCACATGATTTGTGTGAAAGTGATTTCTATTTTGCACATTTGGACTATTTTCAATATTTAAACGATCTTCGTCTATCTTGCTCTTGTAATTTATCTTCATGTTGAGGAAAATTTCTTTAAACACTTCTTCGTCAATATTAACAAATTTATCATTCCTCTACAATTGTTTAGATAGTTCACGGTTTTCAAGGGACAACATTACTTTTGTTCCTCTACTTCGAATGCCAAATATAAAATCGTTAACAATACATTTGATTTTTTTCACGATTTACAATATTTGCTACCAGTAATGATTAGTCTTGAAGAATTAAATTTATCTGTGCGAGAGTTCGATGAATAAACTCCCAGCACCGTCATTGTTAATTAAACTACATTTAGGCGTCTGTTCGTTACGAACCCCATTCAAAGCATCCCCATTTTTGCAGGTTTCTTAACTTTTTATCAGTTTCTTTATGACTTATTTATATTCATTAGAACCCCGATAGGTACAATTCTCGTCGTCGTGTACGGAAGGATGATTCATTGGACGTTCAATAGATCGGTTATCATGAATAGTACGATGATGATGATGATGAATTTCATTTTTGTTGCTTTATAGTAAATTATTACTTCCGATCTGTGTGCATATGAGAAATTTGTATTGAAGAATGTGTGCGACTGACATTCTTTCTCTTTATAAATAAGTTTTATGTATGACTGTCAATGATTGTATTTTCTGTGCAGTGATGATTCTCAACTTTTCTTGCAGTTCTATGTGTTTCGAGTGTTTGATGATAAAAAATGAGTATCAATTATAAAATACTTTAAGCCTAAACGATAAATGGAAATGAAGACTGTCGAATGAGTAATAAAAGATAAAAGAACTGGAACAGTTAATTTTTCTACAAAGCTTTATAAAAAGTGGCCCGTAAAACCTCGTATCTTGGGTTTCAACTATCCGGCAACAGTAGAGATGGGCAAGTCAGAGGCTTTTCAAGTCGCTAGACTGTACAGTATATGCACTATATTTAAATTCGTACCGGAGCTGTACATGCTGAACTTGTACTCATGTACAGTGCGAAACGCTTAGAATTTTTTCTAAGTGTATCACTAAAGACAGTAAAACAGATTCACAGAACGTGAAGAAAACGGAACACTAAACGAATATCATTTAATTCGAAAACAGGACGTGATTATTACTACTTGTTACCACGTTCATTTCATTGATCATATAAGCCATACAAGCAAAAAGAACCAAAATAAACAACCGTGAGCTATCAATAACTTTTCGTTATCAGCGGTCTCACGGAGTGACCTGTACAAAAATATCAGCAACTGACTCTAAAGTTCTTTTTACTAGTAGCATTAGTGCTTACTGAAGGTGTGCTTAAATCTTTTGTAAAACACCTCCAGTGCAAGCGTTTTCATTGAAAATTAAAAGAAGAGTGGAAGTTTAATGGGCTACACAAAGTGTGATATCACACGTTCAGACACAGGACGAACATAAAAACATTTGATGTGAAGATTACTGTTCATTTAAATGCAACATTTCAGTTCTTTGCGACTTCTGAGGTGTATCTGTTAGACAGCATAGAGTTTAATAGCAGACAATGTGTATCAACAAATTAGATTGCATTGAAAATATCGGTACGTATGAGGAAACCCGAAAACAAATTATTTTTGGTAAGAGACCACCTTACGCCAAGAGAACCTTACTCCATTTGGAAACGTTCCACCGTCTCTGATCTCGGCCCCCTTTTGTCCGTTTAAGGTAATTTGTTTTTCAAAAGATTCAGGATTCAGTTCTGTACAAACCATAGGTGAATGAGCGTTATTCATAAAACAGTAAAAAGGCTATTGAAGAAATTCTGAAAATATGAAACATCAGTAACTTCCTCGCACAAAATTCAATTTTTTTGCTTTTACGAGTACTCGTATTGATGAGATACAAAAAAATCAAATGAGGCATTTTGTAGAACTTGAGAAGCTCTATCTTTCGATGGCATACAAAAATTTTACAAAATAAAGTTGTGATGCACAAGACAAACTTTAATTTTTTCATATGTTCCAAAAACAAACGTTTTTAAAACGTTCTACCATGTTCAAGCGCGAAGATTAAGTATTAAGTACCTACAACTTTCGTCACACCGCATCGCGAACTTTCGTTACAACTCAAAAAGGACTTTTTTCTCTAACCTCTGTATTAAAATGATCGATTTTTAAACTTTTAATTTAGACTTAAGTCTTATTGTTAATACAAAAAGAATGATTTTTCTGGTTAAACATGAAACGTTACAAAAAAAGGCTTTTAGTTCTTGTTTTGAATTAGTTGTAATGTCACCGCAAATCTTGATCGTTGTCCAACAGACAGATTTCTGACTGTTGGCGGTTGTGTACGATTTCATTTGTTCGGTGTGACCGAAGCTGTTTTGTTGGATTCATCTCTTACTGATAACATCCAGTTTGTTCGCGCTCAATTCGCTAACTTTTTTGATAATTCATTGGCGTATTTATTAAAATCTTCAATATGCTTGTTACAATCATTTGCGTCGAACGTGGCATCTTCGTTTGTTTCATCATAATCTTGAAAACACATATCAGCAGCTTCTTTGAAGCCTTTTTCTTTCTCATGATGTTTTAACTTCATAGGTATTGCATAAATCAATTTAGCACTAGTTATAACGCCAGGAAATGAATCGATACCATCGAAATGTACATGTAAAATATACGAACATTTATCAGTTGTTCGGTTGAAATTGTCACATGTATCATATGGTGAACAAAGAAGAGCGATACATAAAGGTGTATCTTTACTTTTACCATTGATATATCTAGTAAGTTTCATTCCTCCAATGGAGATTTTGTTTTTCTTTAATAATAAATACATAAATTTGCTGTGTCTTCTTTGAAAAAAACTGGCCTTTGTTTCAGATATCGATCGTCGTCTGGAAATATATCGTAAATAAATTCAAATATTTTAGCAAAATAATGATAAAAATATTTGTTAGTGAAGAAACGTTGACATGAACATAATAGCTGATTGGTTAAACCGCGTGGTATTAATTCGGTATAATCATCAACAGCTGTAGTTTAAATATAATAGAAAAAAGGATTTTGGTCATAAATCACTCTTTTAATAATTCATTTTTTATGCTCAATAGTCAGTGAATTGAAATGACTGATTCCAATCAATTTTTCCAAATCTTTCTCTTGCAATCAATTAAGATGAGTGAATAAAGGTGTAAAAGACTAACCATGAGAATAGAAATCTGGTTCTGTCGATGTCTGAATTAAAATTGGCACTTTTTTGCCACTATTCATTCGTTTGGGTCATTTTTTACGTTGTAAGACATCAACCCAGCTGCCTTCGATACATGAATCAATAATTACTTGTAAAGTTGAATTTATTTATATAGTTAGTTTTAGTTTTGGTTAGGTTTTGGAACCATTTTTCTAG